GGAGATATCTATAATACTATCAACAATAAAAAATATACAATCAATCAATCAATCAATAAGAGACAACAGGCCCACAATGGATCACTTGTATAAGTCACACCATCAAAACCAAAAGTTAATATAGTCATGAACCTATGGTCAACAACAGACCACATATAAGATGGTGGTCCCATAAGATTATAATGGATTTGGCCCCAACTGAGTGGCTCAGTTGGTTGGAGTGTTATTTCATACAACCAAAGGTTGCAGTTTTGATTCCAGGTCAGGGCACATTGCCTGGGTTGCAGGTTTGATCACTGGGGGAGTGGGGGAGGGATATGAGAAGCAACCATTTGATGTTTCTCTCTCACATCGATGTTCATTTCTCTCTCTCTCTCCCCCTTCCTCTTCCTAAAATCAATGAAAACATATCTTGGGGTGAGTATTTAAAAAAAAGATTCTAATGGGTTTGAAAAATTCTGATCACCTAGTGATGTCATACCCACCATAACATCGTAGGACCATGCAGTTTATAGTGATGCTGGTGTAAACAAGCTTCCTATGCTGCCAGTCCCATCAAAGTCCAGCACACACAGTTACGGTCACTACATGGAATTCTTGATGATGAGAAACTGGTTTATGCATTTGCTATACTATCCTCTTTACCTTTGTGTGCTTTCTACTCAGTGAAAGAAAACTTTGCTGTGAAGCAGTATGCTGTTTTATGCGGGCAGCAGCCTCACAGGTCCTGTGTTGACTATGCCTTTTGATTGCATCATTGCCTCCTGGGCTTGATTGAATCTGTTTTGTGTAAATTTCCTGGCCTAAGTGTACAGTGTGATAAAGTCTACAGTTGTGCACAGTAACGTCCTAGGCCTTCATATTCACTCACCAATCACTGACTCCTGCAGAGCAGCCTCCAGTGTGGAGCCCATTCAGGGTCAGTGCCCCACACGGATGTACCATTTCCTACCTTGCACACCCATTTTTACTGCACCTTTTCATAAATGCTTCCTACCACTGCATTACAACTGCCTACAGTATTCACTACAGTAGCATGTTGTACAGGTTTGTTGCCTAGAACCCACAGGCTACACCATATGGCCTAGGTATGTAGCAGGCTACACCATGCAGGTTTGTAAGAGAACTGAAAACAACAAAACTGCCTCAAGATGTCCTCCCCAGGTTCAGGGGTGCAGGAATGTATGTAACTGCAGTTTCAACCTCTCCCAGGACTAAAATTCTAATCTAACCCAATCAATCTGCAAGTTGCTGTTCAACACTAATCCATCTAAAGACTCCTGCTGTTCCTTCCCCTAAGGAAGGGTGACCCTGCCTGAGACACTATTTAACCTCTTTTTTTTTTTTTAGTATATTTTATTGATTTTATACAGAGAAGAAGGGAGAGGGATAGAGAGAAACATTGATGAGAGAGATCGATCAGCTGCCTCCTGCACGCCCCCCAGTGGGGATGTGCCTGCAACCAAGATACATGCCCCCGACCGGAATCGAACCCGGGACCCTTTAGTCCGCAGGCCGACGCTAGTCTATCCACTTGAGCCAAACCGGTTCGGCCACTATTTAACCTCTTAATGACGCTTCCTTCCCGCCTATTGTAAACGCCTTCCATTTTGAAAAGCTCCTCATGGCAAACACAAAGGCCAGATGGGATAGTGCCAGATTCGTGAATGAGGAATCAAGCCAATTAGACCTTCCAATTTATTCAGTTGAATTTTGTTTTTAACGGTTTGAAAAGCACCACACAAAAAAATAGCCGATAAAGACGCTGTGTCTCAGAGAAGGGAAGATGGCGATTAGGATTCGGGGGAGAGACTGGAAATGCAGGCATTTGCTGCAGAGCTAGGCCTGGGGGACAGCGGGTGGACTTGAGAGCCTGATCCACAAACATCAAAACTCAGGAGAAAACGGGGTCCTTCTGGGGAGAAAGGAGGGACAGGGGGCTCCACAGACCACAGCTGCGCCCATCCACGAACCGCGGAGACCGAGTCACCATTGTCCCCCATGACCCTCCCCATGGTCACCGCACCGACTGCGGAGCCGCGGGGATGTGGGTGCAGAGCTGTCCAGACACGCTCCGCAGCCCAAGGCCCTGCCGCGGGGACACACTGGACGCCCGGGTCCCGGCTGGGCCCCACCCTGCGAGCCCGAGGGGCCTGCAGTTTCAGCGGAGCCCCCGGCGCCTCGGGTCCGCAGGCTCCGGACCTGACCGTGGAGAGACGGCCCCGCCACGGCGGCTCCACCCGCCCCTCCTCCCCGACCCCGCGCCCGGCCGCACACTCACCATTTCTAGTTCCTGGGCCTCGCCGAGTCCCGCCTGCAGCTCCCACCACCTTACAGATC